GCTCAGACTCTGACCATTCTATGTGCAACACTATGTTGTCAATGAAGAGGTAAAATAACCTAATTAATAGTACCTATTGTAAGGAGTAGCATTATAAGGGTAAAATGCGGATATAGGACTGTATCAGCGGCAGCTGCACAGGTTATTGCTAGTCATTCTAATCTACCTTGTGGCCCAGGAAATACATATGGCATGCTAAACTAGGCGGGAAAATTAGTCACTGAGTAGGTGTGAGATCAGGGAGGACATTCAGCGTAGGTGGTTAATGGTAGTATAGGTTTATGGATTACACGATTGATCCCCAATATAATTCCTCCGATATAAGACCTATATAATGCCGCATAACAAATACAGGCACGAATTATTATATCCCTTAACTGGTGACCATGAGTCCCACAGACTCCGCACCATGGTTTACTCATCGGCATTCCCCACCCGAAATCTGTCGCAAGCGGCCATTCCGTGTACCTTCGTAGCCTTTAGTACTCTTTTGGTTGTCGTATGGAGAGAGCTACGTCCTTCGTCTCATTTTAGAGTTTTTTATATAGTAGACACAAGGTCACCATAAAATGGCTGATTCCCGACAGAGTGTAAACGCATTAGACGATGATTTCGAGGAATTGTGCTTAAAATAGTATAATGAGGCGAATAATGACATAAGTGATGAAGAGGTGAAAGAAGAAAACTCTATAGGCAGTGATCATTTAATGGACAGTGAAAAACTTTCTCAAAATAAAGAAAAACATGACCCGGAAACGATATCTAGCGAAGATTAGGTAGGGTGCATCAATTCGACTAATTATTACTATGGAAAGAACAGGTATAAGTGGAGTAAGAACGAGCCAACCAGAAACGTATGTACGCGTCATAATATAATTGTACTACCATTAATTCGTTCACATGTAGCAAAGTCAAAGAGCCCTGTTTATGATTTCAATAAAATATTTTCGCCAGATATGTATAATAAAGAAAAAATAGAGTTGGTTGATACTGATGAAATAGAACTTACAGCTTTTTTGAGAGTGCTTCTCTATACTTCTATATACAAGTCAAATCATGAGGATGTACAAACGGGAAAGAAAGACCTATCTTTAGAGCAGTTATGTTACAGAAGCGTTTTTTAGTCCTGATGGTTGCTCTAAGATTTGACGATGCCTCGAACCGAGAAAAAAGAGCAAATAATAATCCAGCTGCTGCTATACAAGAACTGTTTAATTTATTTGTCCGCAATTCAAAAGACTCATATCAAGTTGGAGCCAGCCAATGTGTGCGTAGGCGAAATGCTTATAGACTTTAGAGGAAAATGTAGTTTTAAAATGTATATGCCCAACAAACCTTGTAAATATGGGATAAAAATTTTATTCATGACTGGTGCACGAACTGGGTACTTGTACACACTTGCACAATGCTGGAAAACGTTCAGATGGATTTAGCCTTACTCAAGAAGAACGGAGAATGAGCATACCTTCTCAAGCAGTAATTGGATTAGTCAAACATATCTACAATACCAATAGAAATGTGACTGCCGAAAACTGGTTTAGTTCAGTGGAGGTAGTTCATCATTTACAAAAAAATAAACTAACCTACATCGGTACAGTTAGAAAAAATAAAAAAAAAATTCCCCCAGAGTTTCTTCCGCGACGAGATTGTAACAAAGGCGACACTTTGTATGAATTTACAAAAGACGTAACACTTCTGTCCCGTACACCTAAGAAAAACAAGTAATAATAATTTCGGCCATGGATCACTCCATAGAAGTTGATTCAGATAATGGTGAATAGGTTGTGGTTAAGCTACGGTATGTCACGCGCAAAAGAAGATTTAAAGCTTCGCCAATCAGGTCCTACCTTTAATTTCCTTGGCTTTCTGATGCAGACTTCTCTTCTTGGCGCGTCCACCCTAAGCTGCAGGGGTCGTGGACTGTATTTTAGGGCTGGTATTTGAATATTCGGGAAAGCAAATTTGCGGATTTGTATCGAATGATCACAAAGCTTGAACACACATTTGTACTCTACGACATTTGAGGCGATACTGAGGTTTCGCCCGGTCGAATTTAAGACTCGTTCTTCGCCACGCGGATGTGGTCTTTTACCAATTAGGGCAATACCGTCTTGGCGAAGTAATGAGAATAATATATATGTGAAATATTACGTTTCATACTGGATGATAATTTTCAATTTCAACTTATACTAAATAAGTGAAGACTTAACAAATGGTTTACCCGAAATAAATTCATTTTACAACTTGACCAAATGGGGTGTGGCAGCACTGGACGAAAAGTATGAAACATATTTTTGTAGCCGGAGAACACGCAGATGGGCCATGGCTATTTTTTATAGAATAGTAGACACTTGTGACGTTAATTTCTATACTATGTGTACCCAAAAATAATTGGACCAGATTCAAGTTTGTAGAAACCCTGGTAGATAAACTTGTTGCTCCACATTTGCATAGAAGGTTTGATATGCCAACAATACAAAGGCAACTGAAACAACTTATTGGAAGTATCCTTGATATTCCTGAAAATAAGGCTAATGAACAAGAAGAGAAGCTTGAAATAAGAAAGTATTGCCACATCTGCCCTTCCAGATTAAGAAGAAAGACTGCATATTTATGCACTAAGTGCCAAAAACCCATTTGATGGCAGTTTTTCTAAAAAAATGTGTAATAAACTGTACCAGGGTAGAGCAAGACTATTTTTTTTTGTGTATTTTTTTACCTGCATGTTTTGTGTAAATATTTTTCTGTTTTTTTTTACGTTTTTTATATAAAATATACCTAATTTAAACATACATTATGTTAACTTGAATGTAACTAAGATTTCTTTTGGAATTTGAAAATTGTTTTGTTAATTTAAAAAAATGTTATCAAATTTCTTTTTTTCAGAATTTTAAAAAAAAATCGCTTTTTTCGCTAGGAGTCTGTCAGACTCATGGTTACCATTTATGTAATTAAAAGTAAGGTCACCAGTTAAGGGATATGACCCAGACTTGATCTGCTCATGGATCTGTTAGTAGGTTCACAGGCTACGGTATATGAAAAACTAAGGTAGACATGTAGTTGTATCATTCTTCTTAATAACTCCTCTTTTGCGGGTTTGGAATGCTGGTGAAACTTTTTGGAGGGTAGGCTATGTGGCCAGAGGTAATTATGAGGAAAGTAACTACTCCTTATCAATAAAGCATACAGCTGAGAAGATATTGTCTCGCACCTCAAAAAAAAGACCAACCACTGAGCCACCCACTCCCTTTTATTGAGTAAATAGTTCCCAACTAGAATCTCCTAATGTAATTTGGAGACAGAGTGCATCTCGGGTATTCGGGGTCTTTGTCCTTAGGTGCCCTAGTTTTTATACATGATCGACAAAAACTTCAGTAGCGTACGCTTGTAAAATTTAATTACTTCTTTATTATTGCTATGTTTTTATTTTCAAATTAATATTTTTTGCTTATTCCCGGCGATTCTAAATAATAACGTTTTAATACCTACATTTATTTCAATAACATCCTGTATATCAGTGATAATATTCCCATTAAGCTATTTAGATGTAATCCATACCCATGATAGTCAATTTCGTTGAAATAATAAAAAAAAATTATAGAAACCAAATTTTATTTGTTCAAACGTATTGCGATTGTAGTTGGTTATTTGTTGTCCCAGAATAAATATTTTTGGTAACAATAAACTCGCAATTACATTTTCAATTCCCCGTTGTATTTGTGTAAGTGATAACAACAAAATTTTATTTCATTCGTTCACGCTAATCTCGACGACCAGACGTAGCAAATCTAACAACGCAAGGTTATTGCACCCCGTAAATCTCTTCTAAACACGCCAATGTCTCCGCGAACAGAGAGAGCACAAATGGCAAATCGTTTTTAGAATATATATCTGCTCACAGGTGTAGTCATGCATAACAGTGATGAATGCCTTTTGCTCAATAAAAACTAATTACGTTAAGTCTTCTAGAAGATCTGGACTTTATTTCTTTGATATCGTCTGTCGAGATCTTATCGATTTTATATTATTTAGATGCTAACAAAGGCTTAATTCAATTTTAGATATAATTCGAGATTGTGTTGACTGTATTATTCTCGTTGAAACGTGATCACGTGATCTGGATTCGATAGTTTCATTATATGTCAAGGCAAAATTTGATTCTTAAAACATATAATATTTGTTGATAGTTCTGAATCTTAATAATTCTTCTATAATATGCCAAAATTATTGTAGTATACAGAATCCTTCCTTCACATTTTATTTTTTTCGTCCTATTTTGATTCTTTGTTTTTTCTGTCATCATCTGACTTAGTGCCTGATAACATTGCAGCTTAATCGCTTAGTTTTATGTCATGTAGCCAATCAATTACATATTTGTACAGGTTTGTACAGGTCTTAGTGGGTTCCATAAGCTTTTGGGCCACTCTGTGTTTCTGCAAAAAGTGACTGTCTTTTGTGATTAAATGTTTCGTAGTCGCACAGTATTGATTGGCTATTTCTGGTTCCTTATGACAGAGTCAGGTGCCCCTTTATTCGTGAGTCCAGTTATTGTCCTATTTTATCTGGATTATTCAAATAGAGTAGAACTGCCTTTGTTTATTTCGTTTTTTTGCTTCTCAACTATAACAACTACAATCAACTTGTTAACTCTTGCCATGTTGCTCGCTTGAACTGGCACTGCAGCCGGATGATGTGCAGGCTAATGTGAAAATAGTCTACCGGTATCGTGCCGGTGTAGGTGCTACTCTGATGTCATGCCCACAAAGCACATAGAGGTTCCACATTTCTTATGTTATTAGCCGGCCACACACACAGCTACTTTTGAACGGTTTTGGCTCGTTGCATATCAGGCACGCGGATCTAACTCGTATGTTAAGGACGAAATTGCACACGCGCTAGGTATGTGCGCCTTACGCGACGTCCAGAATATCAAGTTTATTCTTGCAAACTTAATTTGTGCATCTATGGAGCGTTGTTGTTGTTTTACTCAAAAGTTAGCAATGGCAGACACCAGATTTTGGAGTAAGGAGATTTTAACTCAGTTTTTAGAAATATATAGAAAACATCCAGCGCTCTGGATGGTAAAAAGCAAAGATTATACCAATAAAAATTTGAAAGACAAAGGTCATCGTGAATTAATCGAGTTGTGTAAGCAAGTTATAGAAAACCCTGATAAGAACTTTTTTTGTAAAAAAAATCAGTCTATACGAAGCTGCTTTAGAAAAGAATTAAAAAAGGTGGAACAATCCAAAAGGAGTGGCGCTTCTGAAAATGATGTTTATACACCATCCCTTTGGTATTTTGATCTCCTGCTATTCACACGAGACAGTGAGACGTGTTCTGATAGTATCTCAAATGTGGATCATGAAGAAAACTCTGATACTGTTCTAGACATACGAAATGAAAAAGAGACAGAAATGCAAAACGAGACAGGAGAGGAAAATTCCGACATAGAAGAAGAGGTGCAAATAAAGGAAACACAGGATGTTGCTAAGGTAATATTATATTTAATTTTGATTGTTTAAAATACATATTTAGGCTTTTCCTTTTTTAACCATATCATCTTGAAAATCTACCTTACCTACACCATTAAAATATTCTAGATATTTTTCTCTGTTTTCTTTTGCTTCTATGCATGCATTCCTGTTGTTATTGAGAGATAAAGCAATTAAATCACATTCATTTTGGCACCTAATTGTTTCCAATAGTTCAGTCCTATCTTTATCATAAGCAGTCCCAGATGCATACCTAGAACTTTTTTTTAAGAGATGATTATGAAAAACACATATAGCTAGTACAATATAGTTTATTTTCTCGGGGCGCACACAAATAGCCGTATGCAGAATTCTAAATATAGTAGCTATGAGACCAAACGAGTTTTCGACAATATTTTTTCTTTTAGATAGTCTATAATTATATATCCGCCGGTTATATGTAAGATCTCTCTGAGGAAATGGTTTTAATATATGCTTATGTAATGCAAATGCTTCGTCTCCTATAAATATTGAATTTAAACCATATTCATTTTCAACATTGTCGGGCAAATTAAGAGCATTATTTTTCAGTTATTCATAGAAGCGGGTATATTCTATTATTCTATTACTCCTCTATCTGAAAGCCTTCCATTTTTACCAACATCAACAAAAATAAATTCTTCTTTAGCGTTGAATAATGCCATAAGCACTATACTGTAAAATCCTTTGTAGTTGTAATACATAGCGCCAGTACCAGGTGATGGCTGAATTCTGATATGCTTTCCGTCTAATGCCCCTCCACAATTAGGTATTTGCCAGCGGTCTTTGAAATCTTTAAATATGCATTTCCATTCTTCTTTGTTACACGGAAACTAAAAAAAGTGTTTGTGGTAAAATGTCATAAAAAACTACTAGGCATAAAATTATCTAATTTTGAAACTTTTTTCCTTTCAGACTCCCGATCCCAAAAATGGGACTGTCAACAGCAGATTCATAACAAATTCACGGTCAAAAAAATTTAAAAGTTTAAAAGACGATAAATCGGCATTTATGAGAACATGCGTCGAAAACTTAAACAAAAAAGAAGATGAGCATCAACTATTTGGTAGTCATGTAGCAGCAAAATTGAAAAAAATGAACGAAACACAACAGATATATGCAGAAAATTTAATAAACCAGATACTATTGAACCGATTGAATGACAATATTATTATTAGCGAAAGTCTTGGCGAAAATAGTGTTCCACCATACATGCGACAAGTTAACATTCCTATGGCATCTAGTTCTGCAAGTAGTGTATTTACTCCAGAACCATCACCAGACCTGCCGACAGGTGCCGGAATATATTTTCATAACTTTACGTAATTTTTTTTAGGTTTTCTTTTATAACATAACGCTGTTCTTTTATTACTTTATTTTCTGTTCATTAAAGAATATATATCACGTTTACGATAAACAAAAATAAATAAAAAATTAATGAGAACTTACTGTTAAGTATTCTTTCTTTAAACACTCATATATGATACATGTTTCCGGAATAATATATCCCAAAGCTTGGGCAGAAATTGCAGTACTAAATTTTAAATCTTCGTAGTTACGGCCTGTTGCTAGAAACCTAAGCGTTGCTCTCAACCGAGCTTCGGCTGATACAGATCTTCTCATTGGTATATCTTGTCTAATCAGATATGGCTTTAAAATATCTAACAATTCATCAAAAGTTTTACAATCCATTCTTAAATAATTCTTGAAATCATCTGGATCGTTTAGCCGCAATTCACGTAGCAGATTTAAGTGGGTGTATTTTTTCCTTTTTTTTAGCCAGTTTTTTTCCCATTTCCTTCTATTTTTTTCTTTATCTATTATTCCAATATATATTGCAGCCATTGCTATAATTTTCTTTTTTTTGTTAATTTTTTTCCGACTCCGTCCCGGCGAGCCACACTAGAAATATCGAACACGTTTGAAATCCACTAATTTTGCTCAAGTATGTCAATATTTATGGCCATAATTACACACTCTTGGTATGTACGTCAAAGTCTCTCATCAAAGTATTGCTATTTAATGCTTATGTTTGTGGGCAACAGCATTCTTGGCTCACCACAGACTTGGCTCACATGCTTTGCATGGGCCATGCTAAAACCTTCTCCAAGACGCTATGTGTATGGCCGGCTATTGACTCCAAACACTAGATGTGTCTTCTGGTGAAATTATGATTTCTTCCTCCATTTTAAATTTGTGAAAAACTTAACCAAAGAATTCAAAGATATGACGTGTATTTATACTTTTGGTTATTCTCATTCTGATTTTAGTGATTTTTTTGTTGGATTTGGCATTTGGTTTCTGTTTATAGTTTCTTCTTAGTAATTTGCAAAAAATAGAATGTTTCGTTTTTCAATTTCCTATATTGTCTTGCAATAATTTTGGTGCTACGTTGATAACTTGGAGACAAGCTTCATTAATTCACCATGAATCATAAAAACCTTCTAGACACCATCCAACACAGCATATTATTAACCGACTAGCACCGACTTCAAAGAGAACGCGCACATGGGCGTACCATTTTTATTATTAAAATTAAATAAATTAAATTATTAATTGGGTATAGTTCGTCCATTATCAATTGCAGAATATAAAAACTTGTTCCAAACCCTTACCAGCAATTTTGTTTGATCTGCCATAGGCGTAGATACCTCATTTTATAAATTATTACTTTTATAAATACTTTTAAAAATATATCATATTTAAGTATTTGAGAATTGAAATAATTAGATTTGATTCTGCAGCTTTATAAAGCAAACATAATTTATATAACTGCTAGAATAAGCAAGTTTAACAAGGAAATCGCCAAAAATATGGATTTCTTTTGGTATTGGGGCATGATTATTCAGAACATAATTATTATTTGGCTGAATAATATTTTTTTTATTGTCTAGAGTCTAGACAAAACAGCAAAATGTTTTGCTATTTTTTAATATTCTCTGAAAAGCAGGTACCACTTATTTTTTATATTTCTTCACTTATTTAAATCTGACATTTTCAGACCATACACTCACATACAAATGGTATGGTAAGTAGTTCAGGAAACATCAAATACAAAATAATATGTTGCAGGTACTACCAAATGTAGTTGCTTTAATTTCTTTTTATAAATATATGTAATGGGATAATATTATTCTTGAGTAAAATTATTGAATTATATAGTTTTCTGATTTGTAAAAGTGTATTTTGACACTACATTACAGTTATTTTAGAGTTTTCATCAAAAGCAAATTGCTGTTGACGCGGAATTACCTCACACTAATATGAATTTAACTATTTTCTAAAGCGTTATTATAAGGTTAGTTGTATTTGTATAACTAAAACGTTGTAAAGAAGATCCAAAGCAACAATATAGAATAACTATAAGACAATTTAATTGTATTGGCTGAAATGTTGCATAGAATAGTTGTATAAATGTTTATGTAACAATTTTATAGATATCGTGAAAACTATTTTATAATTTTGCTGCAAGGATATTGTGAAAAATAATTTATATAACAATTTAGTTTCATAGAATAAAATAGTGGTTTCTACAATTTTAGTACAACAAATTGGCATTCCAGAAACAGCAATATAATATCAATAAAATATGAGTCTTGTAAACTAAAAATTATAAAGCTACTTTGTTAGGTGGGCCATCTCATGCAAGACAAATCAAAACAACACCGAAAATAAAAACAAGTTTAACAAAGGCTTTGAGAAAAATTTTCAGACCGTTCACGCTACTAAACAAAGATAAAACAACTAAAGCAGCCAGGAACGCCAGCAATTCTGACTGCTCACTTGTGGACTTTACAATCTTTACATCAACTGTAGGTGCGTAGATGTTTAAAACTTAAGTGTACCACATTAGTGGCTATACCAAGAGGGTTCACGCTTATATTTAATGTGAGGGTATTGAATTCATAGCATTCTCAGCTCTTATAACGCGAATTATTACGCAATCCCGGTACAAACGCCTGTATTGGATTGAGTCTAGAAACACTATACAACTAATTGATAATCAACTTATCACTGGACTAGATTCCGAAATCATTTATCACATAAGGGAGAATACCATCTATATTTAGGAGGAAAATATTTATCAGTAAATGTGTAAATGAATAATTAAAAGGATTCACCTTTAATCCAATACCTATATTACATTTGTCCCCAGTTAAAAAGATATTTATAAAATATATTACTTTAGGGTTAATGAAATGTAATATTGATATTTTAAAGATTTAAAATTGTATACCTACCTATTTGCTCCAAGTAAGTTATGTTATGTTGAGAATGGGGTGTTAATACACTGCGACCTAAAAGATCTATTGTTCCCCCTTCTGTCGCCACTGCACTAAGGAAATGTCTCAATGCCTATAGCGACCCTTCCAATCCTATTTTCTCAAGAAAATGTAGGATTTGAAGTGGCTTATCCTCCTAGATATAGTGCCCTTGGATTCTGGAGTGCTACACATTCAGTTAGGATGTGAATGGAGGTTTCGTCCTCCTCCTCACGGAATCTGCACTCACTATCCTCTTTTTTAGTTATATTCACCCAGAAGTATCTTGGCCTGTCTCAGCCCCAAGAGATTGTTCCAATTATCGGTTCTTCTACTACCCAATTCTTTTTTAATCTCTCCTAATATTATGTTACTGCTGATACCGCAAAATGGCTCAGGTCCTACAAAGGGTGTTTGAGCCCCTTTCCTTGCAAGACTATCTGCAATCTCGTAACCCTGTACCCCGTTATGTCCCGGGACCCAAGTGAGAGTAACCCTATTTTTCTCGCCTAGCTCATTCAATTGTTCTAGGCATCTCCAGACCATTTTTGAGCTGATTACGTAAAAACTCAGCGCTTTGATGGCTGCTTGACTATCGGACATGATGGTAATCTCTTGTCTATGATAGTTTCTCTCGATGTTAAACTGAAAACACTCCTCGATGGCGTGAATTTCCGCCTGGAAGATGTTTGGGTATTTTCCCAAGCTTTCGGAGTGCTTGGTTCTCGGCCCATACACTCCTATTCCAGTTCCTTCTATGGTTTTGGAACCGTCTGTATACCACTGAATAGCACGTCTTCCGGTTGCAAGCGCGATGGATTCTTGGCTCCATTCTTTCTTGCAGCCCAGCTCTGTGGTTTTGAAGTTTTTCACAAAACTGTACTTCTTTTACATTTCATCCTGGGGCATGTCCTAGGTATCTTTAGTCCTGAAGCAAGTAGACTTTCGTCTGATTACTCCGTTCCTGATCATTCTATATCGTGTCCTTTTTGCCACATTCTCTATCATCAAATGTAGAGGGGTGAGGTTTAAGATCATCTCCATTGCGGCCGTAGGACAGGTTCTCATTGCACCAGTAATGCAAACACAGGCTAGTCTTTGTACTTTTGAGATATTAGCTCTCGTATCCAAGTAAGTTAAATACGTATTATTATTTGTATTTATTTTGTTTTAATAATATTTATTTAAGTTAATAATAAAAATATTTTAAGAATATTTTATTATATTACTTATTGATATCCTATATTTATTTAATAATATGCAAAATAAACTCTCCACATCAGATCCGTTATAACAAAATTAATTCCTCAAATTTGGAATAATCGACCTAAATTATTTTGTAAAATAAAAGTTTTGAATTTACTAGTTCCATACTTTATTTTATAAAATAACTACCTACTACTAAAAATTACAATTTGAATTTACCGCCACCTGTCAATGGTCATTTTAGTTCCTACTCCAAACACAAGGTGGCGCTAATTTGGTTTAAAAGTCTAACATTGGCGTGGGATCTCTAGAGGATATGTGCTTTGTGGTCGTGCCGTTCTCCACACCCTACAGAATGTACAGAAAGAGCTTAGAAAGCCAACAATTGGGAACAAGCGCAATATTATTATTTCAATAAAATGTCAATGAATAGCTCAACACCCATAACTTAATAGATTAAGTTGAAGTATTAAACTATTTTTTCTACGATCACTATCCAAGGAAGCCTTTTGTGCTTCGAAATACAACCGCAATGTTGACATTTTCCGTGAACTGACGTTAAGTGACAGCTTTGTCGCTCGCCGAGCGGAAAACTTAACAGCTTTGTTGCTCGCCTGATTTAAAATAGATATATTATTTCTATTTATTAAATGATTTTCAAGTTATTTGTACGTAGTTTGATGTTTTTTGTTTTATTATCCAAGTTAATATTGACTTTGAATATTAACTTAATTTTTCATGATTAACGTAGATATAGGCAACACATTATACACTACTTATGACAAATTTTCAGTTTTTATATATACATATATTTCTTAAAATAATGTGATCGTAGAAAAAATCTTGTGCATTTTGTTA